CTCAGAGGCCACGTCAGTCATCCCTCTCCCCCATTATACAGCTGATAACACTGACATCTAGGGATGTTATGTGAGTTACCTAAGAGTAACAAAGTAGTAAGAATCAGAGATGTGGATTTGAACCCAGTTTCTCTGACTCCAGAGCCAGTGGACTTTCTGCTACACCATATTGTCTTATTTGTGTCAAAAAAAAAAAAATTAGCCTTACAAATAGAGTATCAGAGAGGGTGAGCTACAGAACTAATGATGGTAAAAAGACCTAGGCATTATAATAGACTAGACTGCAAGCTTAAAAATGAGTCAATTTTGTGATGTGTTGATTCATTGTGATCACATGATATGTGATATGTGTCCAATCCAACCTGGTCTGCATTAAGAGAAGTCTAGGATTCAGAATGAGGTAAGCAACTATCCCCAACTATCTATTACCTTTCTGAGACCACCTCAGGAATTTGCGTTCAGTTCTGTGTGTCCCATTTTAGGAAAGACATTGGCAAGCTGGAGTACATCCAGAGGAGGGCGAGTAGAATAATGAGATCGATAGTGATATGTCATAGGCAGATCAGTTTTAGAAACTAGGGATGGTTAGCCTGGAGAAGAGAAGACTTATATGAGGGTCATGATCATGGCCCTCAGATGTGAAAGAAAGGTGGTCATGTGAAAAGATTAGACTTATTCTGCTCAGTATCAAAGGACAGAGCAAAAAGCAAATGCAAAAGTTCTAAGGAGACAGATTTTATCTTAACACAAGGAGAAAATTGCTAACAGTTAAAGTTGTCCCAAAATGGAATGAGTTGTTCTGGGAGGTAGTTAATTTCTTATCACTGATAGTCATAATAGTAATATAAATTAAAATAGCAATAAAAAAGAATATGGACTCTTTCTCAAGTGTGTATACATATATGTACACACACAAAATATATGTGTATATAGTACCTATAACAAGGTTGTTGTGAGGATTAAATGAGATAACATTTGTAAAGTGCTTAGCACAGTGCCTGGCACATAGTAGACACTTAACAAATGCTTGTTTTCTCCTTTCCTGTAAGCCCCAACATGTATTTCTCTAGATTTTCTTATCTTAAGCCTTTTCCTACCACAATCCATCCTCCATACAGTTGCCAAATGATTTTCCTAAAGTGCAAGTGTGATCATGTCTCTTCCACACACAAACACATATACAACATACACACCACTTCACAAACTCCAGTAGCTCCCCTCTACCTTAAGGATTAAATATAATTTCCTTTATTTGACATTTAGAGTTCTTCACAAGCTGACCCTTTCCTATTTTCCCAGTCTTCTTCCCCTTTATCCCCCGCCTCACACTTTGGGTGCCAGTACAGACATACTATCCTCTCTGCTGTTCCACACACAGGACACTCCATCTCCTATCATCCTATCATCTCTCATCTCTGTGCCTTTGTACTGACTGTTCTTCAAGACTGGAATGAACTCTCTCCTTACCTCTGCTTTTTGTAATCAAGATTCAGCTCAAGTCCCACCTTCTTCAAGAAATCTTTCCTGATCGTCCTAGCTATTAGCGCAGCCCCTCTGAAAACCACCTCAGATTTTGAACCTATTCAATATATTTTTGTGTGTTTGCCCACTATTCTCCTATTAGAATGTAAGCTCCTTGATGGCAGGAACTGTTTGTATTCCCAACACTTAGCACAGTGCCTGGCACATAGTACATGTTTAATAAATGCTTATTGATGGAATAAATGATTGATTGATAGATTTCACTGGCTTTTTTGAACTGAACTAAACAGCAAATTCCATTGAATAGAATCTTCCAGGGCTTCATAGGGCTCCTTGTTCCATTTAGGATTATACTCATGCTATTTTGGAGAATCAGAAATGAATAACAAACTGTGAATTTTCTAAGCAAGGAACTGGGAGAATGAACATTTCAGGACAAAATTCTATCACATTGTATTAGAAGAGGCAGTATGGTATAGGATATAAAGAACCAGCCTTGGAATCAGGAAAACCAGGATTCACATGAACCAGCCTCTGACATAAACTGATTGTATAACCTCAGGCAATTTCTAAAAAGGAGTTGCCTATCTGCATTTGTGGAAGAAGTTTCCACGATGGGAGTTCCCCACAGGCTGGACAAAAAGGAAAGAATATCTATATTTTTCTATTTCAATATATCATATGGAAGGAAAACAGTCCCAGTCTCTAACTGTTTCTTAATATTTTAAAGCAATATTGTTGGCCAAATCATGCAGAGAAATCTCAGTAAGTTTTTTTTTAAACTCACTGGATCTCAGTTCATGAGTTTGAGGCTGTTCCTTTGGCATGCTATTAGACAGAGGGATCAAAGAGAATGGGGTGTAATAATAAGGCATGATGCTACTCTGAAGAATTAAAGGTCCAACCTTGCTTATGACAGAAAGCCTGGATCAGGAAAGCATATAGAACCAATGACATCTTCCACTGAGGATGACAACCATGGCCTTGTTCACTCATCTGTAAGTTGAATGAAAAGCCATTTTGAATTCAGAAAGTCCCCAAATGTCATTAGCACAAACCAGTCTTAATTTTAGAATCTTTTCCATTTGTCAGCCTAAATTAGATCCTTACTATTTTTATGAAAAAATAAATGTAAACACAAACATTTACTTTGATAATGTTTTATGGTAATCAAAGTGTAATTACATTAATTTTTCCTGTATTGCCTGAAGTCCACAAATATTTGTGTAAAGGACAGTTGTATAAAAGAAAATGCAGCATACTTTTACATATACCATACAATAGGTTTTCTCACTAAAAATGTGTTTCAAATCTACTGAGAATAGACAATAATGATTATTATAGAATCACAGAATTGGAAAATTATAAGGGACTTCAGTGACCATTCCATCTAACCCATCCGACATATCATATTAAAGTGACAGGAATGTGAATACCCCAAAACTTTTTTATTTAAATCTTCTAACTTGAGAAGGCCAATTACCAATGTAATTGATTATTACTGAAGTTTGATATTTTCTTCTTTGCCTCTGATAACCTGTGATTAGTGTGGTATAGTGTAAAGAACACTAGACTTAAAGATGAAAAATCAGACTGTTAATCTTCACTCTCCTAAGTAGGTACATATAGGGCACCTTACTTGGGTAAGTCACTGTTCTTATTTCTTCCCTGCTTCACAAGATTGTTGTGAATGAAATGTCTTCCAACTGTAAAGTGTGCTTATGACAATGAACTGATAATAATGTTGATCATATTTAATTATTTCTAAGTACGTTGATGAACCTGCTAAGTCCCTAGACTTTATTGCTGACTAATCAACAGCCATTGAACTAAAGAGAAGTATTTGGTAGTTAATTGTTCGAAATTAAGGAGCCAGTTGCCTATAATGTGTAACTAGGAATGAGAATCCTAGAAGTGATCATCCCCACGAGTGAGCTGACAAAGAAATAGCCACATTGTAAGTGCCACACTCAATTAGCAATTTGTTACCAGAGAAAAGAAAGGAATTCCATGTTAGTACTTTAAATTAGAACTATATCAAGTACTTTCAAATTCTAGGCTTTGGTAGGGAAAAATGCTACCATGCTCTGCCAGGATCAACATGTCTAAGTCAGTACTGAGTTTTTAATATCAAATTAGTCAGACTTTGATTATTTTCTATGGGAGTAAGAAAGTTTCCGCAGTCACTATGGCATAAGAGGATAATTTCTTCAAACAGAGAGTTGACTCTGGTAAAGATAAAGGGAAGGGCCTATGGAAACCTCAGAAAGTGAGATTAGTGTATTTCTGAAAAAAGGAAATTTTGTGTTCCTTAGTTAGGGAAAGGAAAAAAAAAAGCCAAAGTGACATCAGAATAAAAGACACAAACTACTAAGTCAATGCAACACCAATTTTATTAGAAGAACTGTCCAAGATTTTCAAACCAAACACTCTGATGTTTCATAGGTTGGCTATAGAAATAACTTAGGACATGTGTTCTCCCAAGTAAATGTTTCTTGGTTTCTTGGTGTACTAGTTGCTTAGATTCTTTATTTCTTAGTTTTAATAATCATTCCAACACAGAGAAATATAAATTAGGTATATATTTGTTAGATATGCATCTACTAAGTATATATACTTATCAGTTGTTAACATAGTCATTTTAACATTCAATAGAATATATTGTTTATAAGTGCACGCAAGATGTGATAAATTTCAATGGATTTTATCTATTTATCATATACCCTCAATTGAATTGTTGTATCTGGGGTCCTTTACTTGTCCCTTAGTGTTACATGATATTTGGTGTTTCGATGTAATATAGGCACCCTTTCATATAATTTTGTAACATTCTAGGCTTTTTAGCAAATACCAAATAGGTTCTACTAGAGGAAATATCTTCTATTCAAATGTATATGCTTGTATATTATTTGTAGTTACAATAATTTAGGTATTATTCTAATTACTCTGAAAAGGTTTCATAGTCATGTTCCAAAATAGTCTTGAGTCATGGAAATGGCTTTCCTTTTAATATGTGTTTATGTCCTAATTTTCGATGCTAACAGCTGAGAAATAGATTTTGTTTTCTTTTACATGCAATGTTACATCAGGTTCTAATCAATTAGTGGTAAATTAAATCCTCTCTTAAAGTCATGGATATTTAGGTGGGTACTAAGACCAGTCTGAACTGGCAAGAAATAATATCTCTCCTGAAAACAAACAAACAAAAAAACCTTCACATTCTGAATGTTGATTTTGTATCTCCTCTGTATCCTCCTACTTTATATGGTTCCAAAGTCAATGGACTTTTTTTAGGTTGGCTGTCCTTCTTTCCTTTACAGGGTGCAGAATCACTAATGAAAGTAGTATATGATTAGTATATATGCTGATAGTCAAGTTTTTGTTAAATATTCCATTGAAGTAAATATAATCTATGCCTTATATATTTCTATGTTTGTTGCACAAATATGTTACACAACTGTAAGTATTGAGACTTTGGATAGAAACAGCTGACACAAGTGAATCCAAAGTCTGTACATTTTGATCTTTCTGCAAGCAGAGCCACAACTAAAACAGCAAGACAATATAGGCAAAGCCATACATCCTAGAGGAGGAGAGGGTTACAGAATTGTGTGACAGGTTGTGCTTGGTGTTAAAACAGCTGTCACCTGGGTTCTGTAACCCTCACCCACTTCAGATCCTCTTCAGACTTCTTCTTCCTCCCCGGGAGCCTGGGAGGCCTCACCACCGGCTTGCCTATGAGATGTCTTGGAGTCATCCGTATTCATGGTGGACATCGCGATGGTCTCGTAGTCTTCATTACGGGACCTGAAATCACAGAAGCGAAAGAGAGCCTGCAAATCTTTCTGGAAATTCTTGTTAAGGAACCCATAGAACACAGGGTTGACACAGGTGGAAATCATCGCTGTCAGGTGGCACAGGAGGAACAGCAGGTTGTGGTGGCAGATGGAGATCAACTTGTGGTTCCAGTCAAACACTGTGTTAAAGATGGTCAGAGGCATCCAGCAGATGGCAAAGGCCACCACAATAGAGAAAAGCATTACATTGATCCGTCGGGCTTCCTGGGCTCTATGCTTGTTCTCTCTGATCCTATCCATCATGTCATTCCTCTTCTTCAGGCGAATATAGATCTGTAGGAAACAAAACAAAAACATACCAAGGTTTTCCAGCTCAGGTTAAAGACCCATTTAGTGGAATTAAGGAAAAATGTAGATTAAAATAAATGTTAAGAGAATAAAAGTATTTATTACCTTGAGGTAGCAGACCAGAATGAACACCAGAGGCCCAAAGTACTGCAGCACCAACAGAATAGTGGTGTAAGATAGCCTGTGCACATTAGAAGGGAACAGATCGAAACAAACATACTTGTCCTTGAAGGTTGGGACAGTGACATTGTGGAATGGCTCATCAGTCAGCACCTGATAAATCACAAAAGGCAGGGAGGCAGCCACAGAGAGGAACCAGATCAGGGCAATTGCTAAAAATGCATGGATATTAGATGGTCTCCATCCTCGGGGGTTGACTATAAGCTGATGGCGTTCCAAAGCAATGAGAACCAGAGAGAAAATGGAGACAGTGATCGAGACACATTGCACAAAAGGATTTAGTTTGCACATGGCCTCACCAAAGATCCAGTGATCCATTAATGTGTAGACAAAAGTGAAGGGCAGACATACAAATGATACCAGAAGGTCAGAAAGGGACAGATTAACAATCAGAATGTTGGTCACATTTCTCAGCTCCTTTTGCTTTAGGATGATTCCTATCAAGGCCAGATTTCCAGAGACCCCCAGAAGTATGACAATGCCATAAGCTAATGCCATTGTAAATACCATGGTTACTGGTACACGGCATTTATTCTCTTCAATGGGTGCATATGGGGGGTGGGTGTCTGTATGGTTAAGAAATGATTCATTGAAAAAAGAGGGAAACAATGTGTAATTCATTTTGGCGCTAATTGGTTATCTTTCTTTAAAGAAGTTCAATCTTCATGTAAAGTGTGTTTGCAAAAATTGGGTGTGAGCTCTTCATTTTCCTCGATAACTTTGCATAACCTGTAAAGAGAAAGTGTACAAATTTGTTACTAATTTGGATTTTGTATTTGGTAGTCATGCCAAAGAATGTCTTCTGCTTTTTTTTTCTTTTTTTTGGAGTCAGTGTTTAAGAAAACTAAGATCACATAAATACTTTCACCCATACTCTTTCAAACAGGAGTTTGCCTTTTGCATACTAATTGTGTTCTTTTTTTTTTTTTTTGGCACAGGCCATAATTCTATCTTTTCTTTTTGTTTGTTAGGTTTTATTAGGTATGGGTTGCTTTAGTGTTTGGTATAGTAGATTCTGGGGTCTGGGTTCCAGTCCCATTTCTACTATTTATATCCTGTGTAACTTGGGCAAGTCATTAAACTTGCTTCATTTCCTCATCTGTATTGTGAGGGGGGTTTGACCTCTAAAATCCCTTTTCCTAAATCTATGATCCTAAATCTTAAGGATAAAATGGCAAAAGTGGAAGAAATAAAATATATTATTACCTATTATGATTCTTGTCAGTAAAGGGGAAAGTTTATGTGGCATGATCTGTGGTGAATAATTATTTTTGTATTGAATGGAAGTGTATATCAATGAGAACATTTTTGCTATGCTATACCTTTTAGCACTTGTCCATGTGGCTGATTAAATCAACACTAATATTGGGTTAAAGGTGAATCTTCAACTCAGGATAATTTCAGAGAGAATTATCAGGAGAAGCAGAATGAGTGGGAGGGGGAGGGACATATTCCACCTTCCTGAAAGAAAACAACATATACATTTAGGGGAAAACAAACAGCAAGAGAAATAGGGACAGGGTGGGGAAATGGAGGGAGGCGGGAAGTTCTATGAAAATCCATGACTTTAAATCAATTAAACTTCATAACATAATTAATCCTTGGGAAATAAAATTTTAAAATTTAAAATTTAAATTAAAATTTTTTAAAAAATAAAATTACATATAATCTCAAGTTGCTAAGTCATCCTGAATTTTACAGGGGCCAATTTTAATAAATACTCAAGCTAGACAGTTCACCATTTATTTGTTTAGGAAAGGAAAAGACAACAACAGCAAAAATAAATTAATGTGCAAAATTGGGGCTACTTTGTTAGTTACATAATTGTCTGTTACTTCACTGTAGGAGGGAGAACTAGCTCAGCTGACAGTTGGTTATGAACAACCAAAAAAGACAAGTATTTATGGTAGCAACCAAAAAACAAATAGATAGAAAGACAGTCATGATCCTTTGGAGCTAAAATTTGAGGAGACTTTAAAAAAATACCAACTGAACTTTATCTAACAAACTATAATTCTCCATCTGGGAACCTCAGATTCTGTAAACTCTAGGCCTATTGCCTGTATGCACACCCCACAAATTAAATTGTTTCACCAGAGTCAATAAGTTTGTCAATTCATTTTCAAGCCATAAAATGAAGGGGAAACATCTCTTACAGTGCCAGTCCCCCAACCCTTCATATTATTCTTTTTCCTTGTGATCCCTTTAGCAGTCCAAAAGAAGAACAAATACATTCAGCATAAATAATTCACCCACCCATCAAAAGGTAAAAACAGGTTAAAAAAAAAAAAGGTAAAAACGCACCTGAGAGGTTGTTTTCTGGTTATTTCTGAAGAGCTCAGATCTCTGTGATATGACACCAGGGACAACAGGATAATCAGAGGGGTGTCAGATCTGGAAAGAAGGAAAGTTAAATTCTCTCTGTGTCCAAGAATAACCCTGAAAACACCTCTGGCCCACCAGCCCATCTGGGAAGGAACACCACTGGGCTGATCAGCCCTGTTACATCACTACCATTTTCATCCCATCCCTAATGCCATTTCTAACCTGGACTATTCAGGTGGACGCAGTTTTTCTGGGTGGGGTGGAGATGAATGGGGCTAGACAGAAGCACTAGCCTTCAGGAAAACCTCTAGAAACATCAACACACTCCTCAACAAAACTCTAAGTGAGCCACAGATGTCAGGTGACCAAACTTGCTCCCAAAGCGCCCTCCATTCACTCCCAACCCAAACATCTGCTAAGTTACTTAGGGGAAGGCCCACAGACTCAGTTTCCCCGAAAGAAATCAGGAGAGGCTACCCTCTGGTCTTAAAGAAACAAAAGAGAAATTGGAGCAAAGTGAAGTGCCAACTAAGGGCCACGTTTAATCGCTCCTGGCAGTGTTTTCCTAAGTCCTTCCACCCCTCACGCACTTCCTTCACCCCCTCCCACCTCCCCACCCCCCGAGATCAGAAGAGGTTTTGAACAACTTGCACAAACCTTCAGGCTGGACAGCTCAGGTCCCAGCTAGGACCAAGAGCTGCTTCGTGAACCCCCGAGCCCGGGAGTCGGCAACGCGCAGCTAAAAGCAATAAAGCAGATAGACCCTTAAGTTAAGGCTCCAAGAGACCCCCAACTCCCAACTTCATCCTACTTTAGCTATCCCGAGACCGTTCCCTAGAGATCGCCAATCTACTCTCTCCCCTCCTTCCCTTGCCTTTGCTTATCCCGCCCGTCCACCCCGCTCTCCCTCAATCCCTTTTGAAGGGAGACGGGAGTTACCTCCTCTTGAAGAAGATCTGTCCAGCTCTTTCCAAGAGAAGAAGATGGTGAGGACTGGAGAAGGGAGTAGGGAGCCCGGGGTATTTCTTCAGTTCGGGAGCCTAAGGGAGATTGATGGACAGGTTTGGGAACGCCCTCTTAAAGCTGAACTCCTCCTTAGCCAAAGAATCGCATGATGCTGCACCCAACAGAGTGATGCCAGAAGATCCCGCAACAAACATCCCACTTTAAAGTACATATCTGGGAGGGGGAGGGTTGCCTAGGAATTCTGAAAGAAATGCAAATAAGTAGAGAACCTACGTTGTCAGATATGAGCATACATGAATACACGTAGGAGAAATGGGCACAAACCATCAACAGCCCCCTGACTCAGAGGCAGCCAGGCAATTATTAGGAAGAAAATTTATGATTTTAATAAATTCTACTGTATTTCCATTTTGTTTGCAGGTCGATGCCACCTTGTGGCCGAAATTATGAAGAACTGGGCAACTTGATGCGCATAGTAGAGTGTTTACCGACCGCAAAATCCAGGGGAATTGTCAGACGGATAATAGTAAATAAGATTTGTTTGCTTGCAATCGCACCTCTGCATACCGTACTTCCCCTCGGCTGTCAAGCCCCAAACGCCTTTGGCTCTCCGAGGCTCTCTCGGTCAAGGTCAGTAAGGTGGTCACACACACTGTGACCGCCACTTCCTAGCCGAGAAAAAACGGACCCTGAAAAGTAAGGGCAGTGGATCCAGGACATCACCTCTCTTTCCTTTAGACCGAGAAGGCCGAACTGACCCTAGGGCACATTCTTAGCTGTAAAGATAGGGCACCAACTTGATTTTGTCCTTTAGTATAGGTGCTTTATTTTGGGGGGAGGAGTAGCACTGTAAATAGAAGGGGTCCCTCTCTGGGCAGGAAGGGTTAACACGCTCCTCCTGGGGTCAACAGTTACCAAGTATTGAGGAGAAGCGAGCCGATTGTACTTTGAAGACACTTCCATCGGCAAGACCCTCCTAGTGCAGCCTGAGAACTCACTGACTTATCACTGAGGCAACCACGGCAGGCTTTTGACAAGTCTTGATTCCAGTAGCAAAAGTCAAAATATGTGTGTCTGCCATGCCGAAAATGAAGTCCTAATGCCCGATGACTAAAACAAACTTCTAGGAAACCGAATTGTCAGAAAAGGCTGGCTGATAAAGACTTTGCAGCCCACAGTGGCATTCTAGGCTCTGAGAGTGAAGGGCTGTCTCTGTTATAAAAATCCTCCCAATTTTAGTGGTTCTCTAAGTTCCACTTATATCTTCAAACCAGAAAAAAAAAAGTTTCCAAGAGATATGGGACTCTTACAGTTTTGAATTGCTAAGACATCCTACTTGTCTTTTTAAGCCCAGTCCATAATTAAACAACTCTCTAAGTTTCATAGCTTGTATATATAGTTTCAAAGACTAAGTCAGTGTAGTGCTAAATCTGACAGGTCCTTCCAAAGTAGAAAGGCTTGTGGTCCCAGCCCCGGACTCTGGATCTCTCTTAGGAAGACCAGCCTACCTAACTAACAGTTCATAAAGGCCCTTCAACAGAAGGTTCATGACCTCTGGGTGATGACCTTTCTTATCCAAAGCATCTCATGATATTCATTAATAACGCATGGAGGAACTTCAATTTGTGCTCACCTGGAAAAAGCTACCATCCTTGACGTACTGAAGATTTTCAGTAAGTAAATTTTTTTATGTAGATAATGATGAGTATGCATGCATGGACATATATATATGTTTTTTGGGGGGAGGGTTCTACAAGAATCTTTCTCATGCCTTTGCAACTGGACAAATCTTTCATGCAATAGAAAAATAGGATTATGTACAAGAACAGCAATAGTATTATGTATGTGAGCATAAAAATACATAAATCTAGAGATAAAACAGGAACTTTAAAAATCCAGGCAAGGGTTAAATAGGTTAAAAAAAATCCTAGCTGTAGCCATAAACGCCTTCATAATTAACAAAAAGACAGGGCACATTTGAGAACCCTTAAGTTTTCTAAGACTAGATACTCAACTTATACTCTTCCATTTTTTTCTTTCCTTAACTCATAGTCTCTAGATTTTGAAGCAGTCTTACCCCAAATTTCCATCATTGAAAGGGAAACATATTTCAATGGTAGTTTTCAGTTCTAAGGTATAAGTTTCAAGGAAAGTAATTTATTTATTTACTAAGAATGTAACTTTTTATGTGATATGTTGCCATATTTCTATAAATATTTGAGGTTCAAGAAGACAGTTTGGTGATTATTTGACTTTCTAGATATTCCCATGGTGTTGAGAGGCAGAGAGAAATCATTGCAGTGTTGCTCTTTTCTTGCCATTTCACTGAAAGTGAATTTAAAAGTTCCATTCACAACTAAACAAAATGGATAAGTCTCTTTTCATGAAGTATTAATGTTATAGATTGGTTCCATCACTAAACTTTGGAAGCAATACAACCAGTACCAAAATGTTATTTTCTCTGAATGAAATTTTGTGGTGGAAATGGACTGATATACTCAGACAAAAGATTATTCATACCCTGAGAAAATTAGTCTTTTGAAATATTTTGAAATCCATTTGCCTTTCTCCATTGGTAGTATTATCCTCAAGAGAGATCAGTCACCTAAGACTTCTCATTAGCAAAATAAGAATAATTCAATAACTGGATGCAGAATAACACAGTATATCTATACCTTGAGGTGGTATGGGAGAGTTAACATAAATAAGGAACTTTGAGCTCTGAAGCAACTGGCTATTAAATAGGTCCTTTGTTTCTAGAGCAAGAATATTCACTTCTTTAAGACTAAAGAAACATTCAGGCAAATCCTCCATCAGACTCTGGAGCCCCAAAGTGTATGGCAACATACATTCTGGAGCTATAAATTGAATAAAAACCTCTCCTGGTACGTCTGCAAAGGGAAGGAAAAAAAAAACCTCCTTAAAACCTCTGCATAAACTTAGAGAGCATTTCCTTTGTAAAGTTTATAAAAGTCTGACCACCAAACCTTGTACAGCAGAATTAAATTGAATTAGGCCAAAGTATGCATTGATAGCCTTAATTAAGAAGGTTTTTTTTTCCCTCTTTCTGTTAACTTCAGGTTCTACTGGTCTATCCTCTATGAAAATTTCTTTTCCTGGGCATTTTTAAGCTGAATCAGGACCTGTCTGACTGTCCTTTCTTGGGCAAGAGTCTAAATAATTTTTATTTACCCTATGATGGACTGTGCCCACTTTAATCGAAAGTTTGCCACTGTGCTCACAGCTATTATTTCTCCCTTCAACTTTTTTTTTAATGTCTCAGTGATGGATCTCTGCTGCAGAGATGAAAGACAACAATGGTGTTAGGCTTTGATACAGGAGCATGATTAGCCAAGGGACCGACGCAGTGAAAATTACACATGAAGAAGCTATTGATGGTAGAAACTAGTCTGGGCTATATCAGTATACTGGAAGATGGTTGATGAGTCTCTCTAGACTTGTTTTGCCTGAATTGATTGGGTTGCTTCGGTCAAAAAATTGCTTTGACTGACTTTCTAACTAACTTTACTTATTATAGCTAAATCAATCAGTTAGTTGACTCAAAATGATATACCAAGCACATCCATGCTCACATATTCAACCTCAAAAGCATCTCCCTTATGTATATGAGAGACCAAATAATATTTGTTGGTTTTATTTAGAGCTGAAATGATGAAAGGGTGCCTTGCTTTAAGAAAAATAATATGGCTAAATATTTTACAGCCATATGTTTGGTTATCCCCTATTCTCTTCTTTATGTGCCTGAATTAGTGTTTTCAATTTTAGAATGGGTGGCAAAAGAATATTAGGACCTTGAGTTTATTCAGTAGCCTCAGCACATTTTTTTTCTTTATCAAATAACTAGTCTACTTGATTTTTTTTTCAAATAACCAGTTTAGAGCCAGTCCCCTTGAAGAAGGCTCAATAGATATATATTGATACTGTCTCCTAGGATATCCATTTAAAGAGTATACAGAAATTAATCCTTGTTTGGGGGATGGACTATCTTGTGTACCAAGAGTAGAGTCCCAAAAGGGACTAGATGTATCATTGGGACACACTAAAGTTAACCTCTGCCCAGTTACTCCACTTCACTACTTTTTTTCTGTTTAAGGCAAATAATCACTTAATCCTTCTTATTGAAGCAAAGCAGCAAAGAAAGTTACCTCTAGCTATCATGGAGATCTCACATTTGGCCACATAATGGACTAACCAGGGAGAAACTTCCAAGGTAGTCACTCCAAATTTAATGTTCAATGAAAAGAGGAAATTAATAATAAAAACCTACATCTTTATTAGCATTTCGCTACATTTATAAAACATTGTTTATATAATACTCAGCCTATCCCATATGATCCTTACAACCACCTTGCAAGGTAGGAAGTTCAGGTATTAGCTCCATTTACAAAAGAAGAAGCATAGATTCTGGAAGGTCAGACAATATATCTATCCAAGGTCATACCTTCTAACAGGAAAAGAGTCAGATCCCACCCCAAACTCAAGTCTCTTGATCCCAGTGCTCAGTTCACAGTACCAAACTACTTCTCCAAAAATGCAATATAATTATATTTTTATATAATTAATTATATCTATATAGATAGATATAGTTTTTCAAAATCCCAGGATAATCTGACCTGTTTGCTTTGCTTACTCAAGGACCTCATTCTGAATGTCTTTACAGCACTATTTTCCACTGTGTTTCTAATACAATATATCTCACATATATTTTCATTGTTGTTTCCTTTGAGCTTTTCTTTTGTATGTCTTCTGTTTTCCCCCATGATACTTGGAAACTCCTCAAAGTTAGGGACCATGTCTGTTGCTTGTTTTTAATTAGGTGCACAATCTACTACAAAGTAAGGGAACTGAACCAGTTGATTTCCAAGGTCCCTTCCAGCTCTAAATATGTGATTTTAGCCTGATATGAGTAAACATATGTACTCAATGTATTTCTGGAAGTGCAAATTGTTTTAAACAATATCAAGCTTTGGACTCTGGCTTATCTTTTCAACAGTTCTTATCTCTGCCCATGTTTTTTTCTTTTAGCACTCTAATCAAAACTAAAACTAAAAAAGAAAAGAAAGAAAGAAAGAAAAAGAAAGAAAGAAAGAAAGAAAGAAAGAAAGAAAAGAAAGAAAGAAAGAAAGAAAGAAAGAAAGAAAGAAAGAAAGAAAAAAGAAAGAAAAAAATTCTCTTGCCACTTGTAAATAATTAAGTTACTTTTAGTCTGGCAGAAAGTTTTAGACTTGCAACCAAATTTTAAAAACATTTGCAAATATGAATCTTGAAAAACAAATGAGCTAAGAACACTGATAAAAAAATCTGAAAAATAGATTTTTTTGGTTGCTCAGTAGCAGGAATTTTTTTTCATGCAATTTTGGATTTCATCTACAAGAAATACTTGCAAAAGCAGAGAAGGGGAGGAAAGGGGAAAAGCATAGAAATCAAAGTCAATAAGTAATTTTTTTTCTTCATCAAATAACTAGTCTAGTGCCAATCCCAAACTCAGGAAAAGGAAGTATTACAATGATTAATCTTATATATAGGTACATATTGATATGCTTTTGTATAAAATATATAGGAAATAAATGCATGTACATTACTATCTAGAGACATATGAGTAATATAATACAAGGCTTAATTACATACATACAAACTATTCCTCTATCCCCAATCTCTTTTACTGCACATGCCTGCATGGATACATATGTATATGTTATATAATATATACCAATAATGTATCCTTTGTGGAGGAGATTGCAGGATAAAAAATATTTGTAAATTATATATGGGAATTCTTTAGTGCTTTATTTTTAATTTTTATGGTGTTGTAAAAAAAGTTAAGACTGTGAAGAGGTTCTCTTTTCCTGGGTTGTTATTTTTTGGGGGAAGCTTATGCAACATGTGTAGTGCTCAGATCCATAGAATTGACACTGGATTATTTAGAAAAATAATTCTAAGCACATACGGTATTTTTTTGAGGGAAAGTCTTTAAGGAAATTCTATCCATTCCAATAAACTAGAATAATTGTGGATTTTAGAGATTATATGTATATGTTTATAAGACAGATTACATATATGACAGGTTACATATATATGTTTATAAGACAAATTGTTATGTCTCCTAGGGGTAAGTACAGCAAAATCCTTGTAAAAAACTATCTTTTGATTACTTATTGCATTGGCCTTTTCTTCATTTTTTTAAGTACTGAGGATATTTGGCAATGATAAAATTATTGGACAATAGTAGAAGTTTAATTTATGTAATGCCTTTTAAAATACCCTTCATATTATGTGAATAGTCTAAGAGTTTTTAACCTTTATTTTACATATAAGAAAACTAAGTCTAAGAAGTTAAATAACTTTATCAAGGTTATAGGGCTGGTAATGTTGAAGCTGGGATTGGAACCCAGGTTTCTATTATCCATTATTCTAGACTTTCCCTCTAGGAACAGTTCTTAGCCTACCAAATAATTTTCAGAGTACCATATTGTTCTGTCCAGTTTCTGATCACATAACTAAGATCCCTAAACTAAGAGGGTCTTTCTGTCTTTGTCTTCAAGTTGTGTTAAAATGCAATAAAATATTTGACAAAAGCTGTGGGCCCTGTTACTCATAAATTTAATTCAGATATGAATTTTGAGTATGTTTTGTTGAATATCATGTAAAATACTGTGAATCTTTTCTACTTCTCTTAAGGGTCTAAAGCTACCTGCAAAGGTAATAGGAGATCTTCCAAGTTTACTTTTCTATCTCAGGAAAAATCAGAACATCTGGAAAAGGGCTACCTACTTTTTTTTTTTTCTTGCAGGACAAACAGGATTCAACTTAATTTTTCAAATAAGAATTTTCTAAGCCTTGAGTGGACATAGAGGGCAGAAAAGTGAATATTATTAGTTCTGTACCTTTTCTCTCATTTGAATTTTACTATATAAAACTTTTCCAAAATGAATTCTACAAATGCCGAAGGTTTGTCTTGCAATCCTCAAGGAAACATGGGGGAAAAGCAAAGAAAAAACTTATTTGGCATAATCTTGCAATTCACAAATTTCAAGTTTTTTTGAGAAAAAATTCTTAACAGTTTGATTCATTATGTACAATAAACAAACCATATTATAGTGCCTATTTAAAGATTTAATTTGGAATCACAATTTAGATCATTTCAATTATTCAAAAGTATATGTTTCTGTGTTGGGAAAAGTGGGTAAGTTAATTTATATTTTCATTATGTTGACCTTTCCTTTTAATGCTCTAATTAGCACAGTGCCTGGCACATACTAGACACTTAATAAATATTAATTGATTTGAATTGAATTAATTAATAACAGTTGCTTTATTGTAAAGATTCATACCAACAAAATAAAAGTTGCATGAGAAAGGGGGAATGTTAGCTTATAGATTTAATATTCTAATTTCTATGATAGAGAGTATTTTCTTTAGGTGATTATGATGAAATTTATTGGGAAGTTAGTGGGATTAAAAAAATTCCAAATGGTTGTTAAAGTTATTTGTTACATATGAAGATATTTTGGAGGGGAGGAAGACATAAAGATTTTCAATTAGATTCCAGACCAAAAAAAAAAAATCTTTATGAAAGGCAAAGCAGTATACTGAGAGAGACCAGGGATAGGCAAAAGACTGCAAGCTGAATCCTGGTATAATATAGGGAGAGACTACCGGTGCTCTGTTTCTCTTTGCATGCATTTCAAGCACTGATTCTGCAGGTGGTTTTATCAATGCCAGCCCACCAACCCTTACTCTCATTGCCAATTCTGATCTATGACTGTTAAGATTGTGGGAGACAGGGGGCTTACTAGAAATAAAACTTTATAAAACGGGGGGGGGGTGTCATGCAGTGGTGTTTAAAAGTTCACTCCCACATCTTTGGTTTGATCAGATATCAAGTCATAAAGTTGGATTTTTCTACATGGTTTATCTGACAGGTCCCCACGGATGACCTGGGGAATGGTAACCACTTAACCAAGTAACAAGAGACTCCTTATGCTGCGACGACTCTTCGGTAAGAACGCGTTGCCGCAGCAGTTTGAATTGCCCCCAAAGAAGGTTTTGTACTTTGCATTTTCCCCCAGGGGATATTTCTCCCGGGGTTGACAGCATAACAGCATGACTTCCCTACCCGAGGTTACATACACATGGTAAATGCATACGGTGTATAGCATGCTTCAGAACCTAAGTACCATATAGCACCCATCTCTTAGTAAAAGTTAATGGGGAAAACAAGCCATACTTTCTCATTGGCACTAGGGGTCTTCACACTCTGACGCCCGCTATCTGGGGGACGGCAGCAAGTCACTTCACTTCTCTGACCTCAGTTTCCTCAAGTGTAGAATGCAGGATAGAAGAGAAGATCTCCAGTCTCCTTTACAACTATAAATCCTATGGTACTGGGATACCCACCCGAGACCCCTCTCCTCATTTTGCGCACTGACCGACGCACATTAACATTATTCCAAAGTCCCGGCCAAGTCGTGACTAGCCACAACAGCTAACCCTCACCTAGGCAAGAGTTTTCAAAGCTGGCCGACTTCTGCGAAACCCCCAAATATAATTTTTTTTTTTTTGGTCCTTTTCCTTTGTGCTGGCTTTCCGACCCTGAAACTTGCACTTGGAAATAGTCCCGGCAAGCTTCCATCCCACCTTGGAAGCACTTTCTGCGCGACTACGCTGGTGTGAGGGATCTGTGAACAATTTGCTGACCCCAGACCCTCACCAAAGCATGATTTATGCACCCCCGCATCCCGTCCCATCGTGTTCTAGCCAGACCCCGGTTGCTTAGACGAGAAAGCGGGGTCCTGCTATTGATGCGCTTTGAAAACTAAGAAAAAATGTCTGAAATCACGAGCGTTTGCTCTCGATGCCTGAAGGCACTAGGGAATCCCGCCTTGGCGAGTAGATGAGGGTATCCTATGTAGACACTGGAACAGCAGGGGGACGTGTGGGGGCACACAACAGCCCCCTGATGCAAGCGCCCCGAAAAGTTAGGTTAACTACTCTTCCTGGCGCGGCGATGCAGAGGCAAGCGCTGTGTGCTGCGCAGGTCGCCCTAGGGAGGTGACCACCTAAAGGGCTTGAACTCCCCTTGCCCAAAAGCACCCTGTGAACCCCCTGAGCGGGATAAGTGGAGCATCAGCTCCTTAGCGACTGGGTCATCAGCCTCCTCACAAGAGCCCCAGGCTTTCAGGAGGAGGCTGCCGCCGCGGCTACAGCCGCAGGGTGCTGGGATTTGGCAAGTGACTACTGCAGAGCTGGCGCCCCACAGAGGGTCCCTGAGGGTCCCAGGCGGGGCAGCAAGATCGCGCCCGCAGAGACACCTTTCCAAATCGTGCGTCTTTCCCCTCCTCCCCCTCCCTCCTCCTCCCCCCCTTCTCCTCTTTCCCCCTCCCCTCTGCCTCCTCCTTCCCTCCTTCTGGTCCTCTCTTCTCCACTCCGTTTGTCCCGCCCCCCCTTCCCTCTTCCCCCCTCCCCTCTTCCCCCTACTCTTTATCATCCCCTGCTCCTCGTCTTTCTCCCCACATCCTTCTCCCTCTCCTACCATCACCACCACTCTCCTTCCACCCCTTTCCCTTCCCTTTCCCCTCCCCTCCTACTACCTATTTCTCCGGCTTCTTTTCCAGCTGTCTTCGCTCCTGGAGAGCGCGGGAGCGAAGGCGCATTGGCTACACTGGATCCGGTACCCGGGCAGCTGGAAGACCTCGCGAGCGGCTGGGGGCGCTTCGAGGTACAGTCTCCTGTGAGTCCCAACCAGCCACCCACCTTCCAGGCAGGCAGGAGGCTGGGGAGTTGGGCTCCAGGAAGGTGGTAGAATTGGGAGTTCGGGACCACTGAGGGAGAAAGCAGGCACTACAGCCTGGGAGAAACAGCTTTTGCTCTGGGCTTTCACCCCTCTGCCAGTTCGGGGGCGGGTGTTTGGGCTCTGGCAGGAGGGGAGACCAGGATAGAAGGAGAACTGGGGGGAAAAAGAGGGATGCGACTGCCCGAGGAGGCAAATGAGGAAAAAAGCGAGAGACGGCTGGAAAAGTAACCAGTTCGCAGATATCCCAGTATGGGAAGATCGCACCAGCCCTCAAACTCACCAATTGCGATAGCTGGGCGGGAGCGTCAGAGTTCCAAGAACACTATTAGCGCAGGTAGCAGTTTTTCCTCAAGGAAGAAAGGGAGGGTTGACAGAAGTTGTCTTAGTGAGAGTAGCCCCTCTTTGCAGTCTAAATACAAAATCCCAGTAAAAAGGTCATCTGGCCATCAGCGACATGAGCGCTGTCTTTAGAACCAGAAAATACGGTATTTACTCTCTCTGTGACCTTGGGCAAGTCATTTAACACTTCCTCTGCCTCAGTTTCCTTATCATGCAATAAACGGGTTGGAGACCTCTAAGATTCCGTCCAGCTCTTAATCCGATGACAGCCTGTGTTTATTTAGCCGCCCCCCCCCTCCAGTCTGGCTCTGCCACATAAACTGAAAATGCCATCCGGCGCCCCTGTGCCAAGCCTCCAGGGGTTCCTCTCTAGTAGGTCCAGCTGAAAAACTGTCTAGCATCTGCATCAGGATAGGAAAGGGCTTTCATAAGATGTCTGTTTTGCTTTACAAAGCAGCAAAGGGTGCACACAAATTCACACGAAAATTGTGAAATAAGGAACTCAAACCAAAAACTTCAGAGCTTTTCAGTATTTCTTTAAATGGAATTAGGCAAGAGCCGGTAAACTCACTGAAAGTCCAAGGCTCTCCAATAGAAATGCTGCCGCCTTCCAATCAGATTGAAATTTCAAATATCACTTAAAATATGGAAGGGTATACTGTTAGAAATGGGGAGGGAAGGGTAAGAGGAGGTGGTGGCTGGTAATTCTAATTGTATAAGTCTTTTCCAGTTTAAATGTCATCAGTTTTACCTTTTAAAAAATGCCTGCATAAGGGTTTGGGGATTTCTGTAGACAGATAAAGTAAAATGCTAATGTTTGATAGTTTTATTAATGGAAGTAATTATCAGAAGGGAAATAATGAAATATATTTAATTACTTTTGCATGTTTGACATTCTTTATGATAATAATTATAGCTAGTAAATAATTATCTTAATCATAGGAACCTGCTTAATCAGAGTTTCTGAGTAAATTCAAGTCTGATTCTTTTCTCAGTGCTAACTTTTCTTATGATATACTTGAAGCTTTTTCAGGTTCTGATCAGGAAAACCCCATTCATCTCAGTATCATATATAGATTCATTCATAAATATTGAAATACAACTGTGGGAAGCCACAGTTTAAAGGTGATTTTAAAATATTTCTTTCACTTTCATTCATTCATCAACTATGTATTGATCTCTTCCTATGCCTGAGACTTTTTTTTTCTCCTCAATATTGAAGGATCTATGTAAACTGAGCAATGTCCTGGTACTAAGCTAGCATGTGAAGATTGTCTGAAGATTAAAATGATAGTGTCTGATTGTCTTGACTTTGTTTTCTCAGGCTGGTGATTATGAATGTAGGGAATAAAAGGCATAAATGAGAAGGGAAATTGGAAATTGTATGTCAATATACATGAAGGTACTAGTATTTGTGACAAATTGCTGTTGAAGTGATGTTTCTTGTATTTAAATCCCAAATTGTACAGAAAAGTTCATATACTTATCATAATATTTTAATTACCTTCAAAATATTTGTTTCATCATAGTTGTATTAATATATGGCAAAAATGCCCCCACCCCAATAATTGTGACAATTTCTGATGGTTGAATAGTGGTAGAGAAGATTTTGTTAAAAAAAAATACCAGAATGACCTTTCCCATGTTGATTTTCTAAACTATAATTTTCAGGAAGAACAAGTCATGGGGTAAATTTAAGAGAAAAAACTTTTAAGTTTTTCTAAGTTACAAGAGTAAATGAAAAATTTTCCTTTTCTATTATGATATAATTTCCCTTGTTTAAAATACCAATTTACAAGACAAGGGACTTTAAGATCACAAACTTTCATGAAAAGATTAATGAAAAGACTTTGATTAAAAAAAACTTATAAATTGAACAAAGTGTCTATTGAACAAAACACAGGCTCAAAAAATTATTTGGGTGGGGCTAATCAGAGAAGCCTTTCAGAAGGAGGTAAAATTTTTGTACATGTGATATTCTAGTTTCTCTATCTTTTGGGACAGATAATCCCAACGATCTGAAGGATACTCCTTCCAAAACATGAAGGACTTGATATGAACCTTTTCCAGTACTATAATTGCTTCACTTAGAGCATTCACCAGAAATGTATTAAGCACCTATTATGTTCAAGGTGCCTAGCTATGTGTTCTGTACCATCCCTGCTCTCAAGGAGCTGACAGTCTATTAGGGGTCATGCACACATACAAAAGGATAATATAAAGTAAAATGTGAAGAATGATTGACAAGTCAATCAAAGAACAAAGATATACAAAGAACGTGATATAAGAGGTTCCAAAAGTTCAAGTTCAACTAGGGTAATCATAGAAAACTTGAGAAACAGAAAAAACCAAAACCAACCAACCAAACAAACAAAAACTACTCACCTTGGGGTCAGGAGACTTGTACCAGGCACTAGCTATGTGATCCTGGATAAGTCATGTCAGCTTTTAGATCCTCAGTTTCCTCAACTTTAAAATAGAAATAGTAATATATGAAATATCTAGCTCACGGAGTTGAGAGGAAAGAGCTTTGTAAAACCTAAAGCATTGTACAAATGTGAGCTATCATTGTAATTTTGCATATATTGTGCCAAATTAATCTTGGGTTAGCCATTTCATGCTTTGTACCTCAGTTTCCTCATGTGTAAAATGAAGTAGTTTGGCTAGATTTTCTTTAAGATTTCTTCTATCTCTAGGGTCTATGACCTACAGTGATAAGGATAGGTCATTTTAACATATATATATATCACTATATTATAGTGATAAGAAAGCTATTAGTAACCTCAAAGAGAGCACTTGGATCAATAACTATCAAGCTATTGACTGTAATGAGTTAATAGAGCTTGAAAAATCTCTGATTTTAACTGGGGAGTCTGATTTATAATTTGGAATAATCCAGTTCCATTTCCCATTATTAGTAAAAATTCCAGGTACTCATTGACATAAAACTAATTGGTTTGGTTTAATAGTAATATTGATTTAATATTAGCTCTCTTCAGTTGGCACCAGGGGTTCTTAACTTGGGGTATAAGAAATTGGTTTTTTTTAAATATATTTTGGTAACTTTATTTTAGTAGAATTGGTTATCTTTATAATCCTATGGATTTAATTTTATGCATTTAAAAACATTCTGAGAAGTGGTCCATAGACTTCAATAAGCTACTAAAGCAGTCCATGATTTAAAAAAAAAAAAGGTTAACTATCCCCTCCCCCAACATTGAAAACTTTATCACAGGTTTCTTACCCATATCCTATTAATTTAAAAAAATTTTTAAAAATGTTTAATTTAAGGAATAGTTTTCAAATTGAGTTTGGCAATGAACCCTTGATTGTATATATATATACATCTATATGTATACACATTTATATGTGTGTGTGTGTGTAGATACAGATGTATATATAGATGTGTGTACACACATATGCACAAGCATCTGTTTTTTTATATTTCTGGAATTATTCCACAAGTATTTACTATGTGAAAGGTATTGCATTAGGAAGTGGGTTTACAAATTCAAAATTGAGATGATCTTTTTGATAAATGAGTTTACATTCTATTAAGGCAGGTATTTTTAAACTAGAGTCAGTGAACTTGGTTTTTAAAAATATTTTGATAATTGTATTTCAATACGATTGGTTTCCTTTGTAATTCTATGTATTTTGCTTTGTGCACTTAAAAATACTATTCTAAGAAAGGGTTCATAGCCTTCACTAGATGGACAAAGGAGTCCGTGACACACAGAAACTGTGAAGAAGCCTTGTACAATACAATAGGGAATACAATAGGTTACAGATGAGTAAATGAAGGAAAAGCACCGAAACTATATAGCAATGAGAACTAATTGGGGAAGAGGGGGATGGGAGAGATTAAGACATTCTTAAAGAATTTGATTTTGGAGGTGTGTGCCCTACCACCTCTTAGCAGATTGTCACTTCTCTAGACATTAGCAGGCATTGTGAATTGTTTTGGCCTGAGAAATTCATCCCCCTATGTCCTTCCTGGTGATGAGCCTCTTCCAACTTAGCTAGGCTGGTCTTTCCATAGTGGAAACCTTTGAGGCATAGTAGGATTTATGCTTTCCAGCTTGTGCTCTACTGGCATGATCTTTAGAAGTCCATCACACATCCAGATCACAATGAAGCGCTAAAACAGTACTTTAGTGGAGAATGTTCATCTTTCCCTAATTTTTTCAAAAAAAAAAATTCAAAAAAAAAAATGAATGGTGCTCCTGCCTCTTCATTTTCCTTTTTTCTAGTATTCATGTTTAAAAGGAAATCTTGGAAAACTCCAAATATCATATGATCCTAGGATTTAGGGTAGGAAGGGACCACCTTCAAGATAGGTGATTTGTTCAATGTCATTCAACTAATAAGTAGTAAAACCAGGTTTCAAACCCAGGTTTTCTATTGATAAAAAAAAAAATCCAATGCGCTTTTCTCCTCACCATTACAAATTGAAATAGAGGACAAGCTATTAAAAATAATCATTTTAATATAAAATAAATTATCCTCTAACTTGTCTTGCATTCACTTGTATAAGGCACACCTAATTTTTGAACCAGAAGTGGGTCCAAAAAGGGGCAATATAATAGCCCACATTTATATAGCACTTCAGGTTTCACAAAATTCTTCCTTTAGAACCACCCTCTGTTATACGTAGGTAGGGATAATGCAGAGTTGGGAAAATCATCAAAGAAAGTAATTCAGATAATGCACCTTATAATGCTTTACACACTTTAAAGCAATATATTAAAGGTACCTAAAATCTGGTTCAGCTCCATAATTATGTTTCAGAAGACATGGCAGTATGCTGGATCATATAGTTTATATTTGAAATTTTTAAATTATATCATTTGTTTAATAATTGTTTAATTTTCAATGTTAACATTTCATTAATGCAGATTTTAAGGAATACAAAGCACTTCCCTTACAACAATTCTGTGGTGTAGATAGTGTAAGTATTATTATCCCCATTTTACAGATGTGGAAACTGAGGATCATAGAGGTAAGTGGCTTGTCATAGGTCACATAGCTTATAGATGTCAAATTAGAATTTGTATCTACATTTTCATTCCTCAAAATACAATCTTCTTCTTACTACACCATGCTGACAGGGAGGGGAAAAGGAAGTCGAGTAGAGTTACCTGACATTTCTAAATTTCTAAAAATAACCTGAATTCTGCAGCTATTTCAGAATAGCTATTTTCAGCCTAGCTCAGGATGGCTGGGAAACAACAACAATAATCATAGCTTTCATTTGTATAGTACATTGAAGTTTTTAAAGTACATTGTTACACATTATCTCATTTGATCCTTTCAGAAATTCTGTGACACAGGCAGAAATAGCTGTTATTCTTATTTTTTACAAGTGAAGAAACTGAGGTTCAGAGAGGTTAACTATCAAAATTCAACAGCAAGCAAGTGGTGCACCTGAGACTACAGTCCAGGTCTTCTGGCTTGGCATTTTTTTGCTTTTCAAGTTAGTAAAACTAAAATGCTTGCTTTTGCATTTGGTAAAAAAAAATTATATATATATATATATGTATATATATACATATATATACATATATATATATATAGAGAGAGAAAGTTTGTTTTTCTCCTCAAGATATTAAAATGATTAGAGTAAATAAATAAATTGCATTCCATCATTCAAATTATTTCATTGAAAACACTGACAGATGGATTTATGCCCTTTCATTTAATAGAAAACAGCTATGTTTCACAAACTAGAGTATATAATAGCTAGAATGCTTAACTGTTAGTGAAGTTAACCATTTGTGGGGAGAGGACCCTAAGCTAGACTCCCTCTTGGACCACATTCATTGATTGTAATCTGAATCCTGTGTTTTAAGCCAAATTGTTTATTATTACAGTCACCCTACATTTTAATCTCCCTCTTCTACCTTAGTTATGGTAGCCATTAATGTTTCTGTGTCTGTATGACAAACACCACCAAATCACATAACCCAAGCATTCCATAAGTAACCTCAGCAATTGCAGAATATTCACCCCACTTCTCTCTTGCTTGACTTGGTACAAAAAAGACCATTACTGACTATAACCCACCATCTAGATAATAGCTCATTTCTTTAGTGTTTTAAAAGCTAGGAACACAGTATAAGTTCATTCTAGATAATTAATTAAGGAAAGAAAAAAAGGAGCAATAACCCTGTTAAAAAGAGGACTTGAGCAAGGATTGAATATCAGGCAGATCATAAATTAGTTCAAGTCCAGAAGGTCAGCTTAATTTGGGAAATGAAATTAAAACAGTATTCAATTCATTACTGTTTATAAATTCATTGATGATCAATGAATTATGCTATTAACAGAAACATAGAATGTTTAGAGGCTGAAAACACTTTAGATTAATAACAAAGTAAAATACTTTTAAGATCATCTTATCCAAACCCATCATTTTACAGATGAGGAAACTGAGGCCCAGACAGTTTAAGAGAGCAGTGTGTCTAAGGTGGCATAGTGAATTCATGGGAGTCTACTAGAACAGAAGCAATCTACCTCTCATTTTACTCTTTTCACAGAAATAACATCAGGGGTGTAATGTTAAGTATAAACACATTTAAAGTTGGTGTGCAGAATAAAGCCAGATTTAGTTTGTAAAAAAAAAAAATTAAGTACAGAGGTAGGAATTGCTCAATGAGTTTGATTACATAATTTAGGACAAATATCCAGTTTTGTATTTTGTATGACCAGGACCTGGGCTATCTTAAAACTCAAATAAGTGAGATTAGCAATCCTTATATTAGATTAGATATATGTGGTCCATAGAAATGTTTTCAGAAATATTTAGCCTATTAAGTTTTTTTTGATATGAGAAGCAGTCATACCTTCAAAAAAAAAAAAAACATTGAAGCAGTGACAATGAGTCTATGAGTTAAATTGTCTCTGACTAGTGAGCAATTTACTTCCAGAAAGTAACTCATTATAGAATCAGTACATGTAGTAGGATGTCATTCCACTATCAGAAGGTCCCAAACCAAGTTCACCCTTCTCTCCAGATGACTTCTCTTATGTTATATGTAACAATTTGTCACTGGGATCTTGATTGTTGTAGGGACTCAGACTAACTAATTCCACAGAGGCTCATCACAAGAATGCTGGTCATTAGGAAATGAATTTCCTGGCCACAACTTGGCCCATGAAATTAAAAAAAAACATACAAAATGGTCTTCGGTTTGTGTAACCCGCTTTTTGTTCTGCAGTGATGATGGTGGAATAGTAAAAAAGGAAAAGAGAGTGCTAAGAATCACAGTTTTTAGACCATCTATATAAGCATTAATTTAACTTTGGGTACTCTAATTGTGAGGTCTTTGTCTAAAACCAATCAGTTAATATACTACTGGAGGAACTGAAACACTAATGTTGACGTTTTCACTATGAATAAAATCATGAGATGTAAAGAAATTTCAGCTAAATGGAAGGATGATTTACAGGTTTTCCTTGGAGAGGAAAATAAAGGAGTTGGTGGAGGTGGTTTCTTTGTGCACCACAGGCCGTAAGCAACACCGTTTCATGGGAAACTTGGTCGTCTTGCCTTGCAGTGCTCATGATGAGTGTAAACAAGAACACCGTGAAGATAATTGCATCTCCTGCACCAACATCTGTTGCAGAGGATGAAGAGGTAGAGAGATTCTATGAAGAGCTTGACAGGACCCTCCAAACCAAGTCACATATACCTTGATACTTGGTAAAGTCAGTGGGAAGGTAGGCACAGGGGAGGATGGTGGCAAAATAGGCTAGAAAAATGTCTTTCAGGGTTAAGAAATTGAAAAGACCAAAAGCCCGTAGACTGCAAAACGCGAAAATGATTTTAAAATCAGCTATGTGTGTGCAGTCAATAAGCAACCAGTTGGAGTAAAGGTCACAATCAATGCCAAATTAAATTTTGTTTGGTGAAGGGATAAAAAGGATGAGAAGACAGTGCATGCAATTATAACAGCTCTAACCTGATCTATTTCAGCAAGTGTTTGACCCTGAAAACTAGGAAACAGATAGAGGTAAAAACATAGACTCTGATAATGACCATTTCTTACAGAAGTTTAACCCATCTAACACAGTAACCACAATGAAGAGACTCAAACTGCCCAGAAATTATCTGAGCCTCTTATTATCAATGTGACCTTGGGTAAGTTACCTAAACTTTCTGGACCTCAGTTTCCTCATTTATCAAATGAGTGAGTTGGACTATTTTAAGTCCCTTTTAATCTCTAAATCTATGATCCCCTTGCTCATGCCAAGCAGAAAAACATGGTAGCCAAGGGCAACACAAGCTTAGCATACAAATTTATTTGTAAAACATTACAAGGAAGAAGGCCCAAGGTTATGAGGAGTATTACCTCATAAAAAAACGAAAAGCAGTGAAGAGGAAAACAAGATTGCAGAAAGCTGGGTGTGAGTACCAATTAAGACAGACATCTCAAAAGCATTTATAGATGGAATGGGAAGGACAGCACCACGTAGAAAATGGAACTGATTTGTCAGTGTTTCTATAGTGATCTGTTATTGTCAATGACAGTGGGGCCACCACAAAGGAACTCTAAATGCATTAGTACTTGAAGGACTATATAAGGAAGTAGAAATGGTTCCTAAGAAGATGAATTCAGGAAGAGTGACTGGACCAGATTCAGGTACACAGAATACAGATGAAATCTGTGCTGGAGGCAAGAGTACTTGGCTCAGTTTTCAAGGTGTTGTATAGGATGAAAAAGAGCAAACAATTGAAAAAAGCTCTACACAGGTAGTATTGTTCCCCCCTCTCCCCAAACAGTGGTCAGGAGGACATCAGCAGCTGACCCATATGCCTAATTTCTCATCTTTCTAAAATCCTTATGAAAATGATCTCATAAAATTATAGAACCTCAGAGTTAGAAGAGTCCAGGAGTTTTTTTGTCTTTTAATTTTTAGGCAACTGGGGTTAAGTGACTTGCCCAGGGTCACACAGCTAGTAAGTGTCAAGTGTTTGGTCTGAGGCCAGATTTGAACTCAGGTCCTCCTGACTTCAGGGCCGGTGTTCTATCCACTGCGCCACCTAGCTGCCCCCTTTTTTTCCCCAAGAGTTCTTAACCTAGGGTTCATGAAATTGTTTTAAATACTATGATGACATTTCAATATGATTGATCTCTTTTGTAATAATATATATTTTATGCATTTACAAACATGTTTCCGAGAAGAGGTCTGTTGGCTTCACCAGACTGCCAATGGGGTCCATGAGATATACACAAAAAGGTTAAGAACCTTTTTGTTCTGGCGCAATCTATACCTGAAAAACCACATTGGAGCATCCCCAACAAATTATTGTTTGTAGGTTTGCCTTCAACATCTGTAACAGGGGCAACTCATTCCACTTTTGAATCACTCTATCATCTGGAAGTTTTTCCTTAGATTGAGTCTAATTCTTCTCCCTTGTCATTCCTATTCATTGCTCCTACTTCTGTTCAGTGTGGTCAAGCAGAATAAGTTTAATATCTCTTGTACATGTTAGCCTTTCAAATGCTTGAAGATAGCTATTGGGACTACCTTCCTTCCCTCCCTCCCTCCACCACCAAATTTTTTTCTCCACCAGGTTAAACATCATAGATGCCTTCTGTTGATTATGAGAAAGCATAATATCAAAGGTTTCACCAGCCTGTGTGCCCTCCTCTGAATACTTTTCAGTTTCTTAATGTTTTTCCTAAAATATAGTACTCAGAACTGTTCATGAAAACCCCAGATCTTGTCTTAGGTGAATGAAAATGGTTATAGTATGATTGTATGACCATACCTTCCAGATGTTGTACTTAGGAAGTTGAGTTTTTTATTTAAGTGTAGACTTTACATTCATCCATATGAAATTTCCTCTTTGGCCTAACAATCTAGTCTGTTATAATTTTTTTTGAATCCTTATTATTATTCAGTGCAGTAATGAGATACCCCAGCTTTGTGTCAATCTAAATATATTGAAGAGATACTTCAGGAAAATATGAGATGAAAGCAGGAAGATTTTTGCAGAGGATTACCTGCACATACTATATCTTCATATTCACACATTTGGCTAAAATGTGACAAGGTCCCACTTTATTTATTGTTTGTTGATCTTTTTTTTAAAGCATTTGGCATAATAGAACAAAAACAGAAGCTTTAAATCTCTATTATAATAGAGTATCTACCATGAATATGACAACAATCATACAAGATTCCTTGGTAGATACAACTATGGATATAACTTTGATTAATAATCCTTTAAAGAGCAATCTGAAGAGAGACATAAAATAGGAAGACTCTGTTGTATTCCCTAAAGGTGTTCACCACCATCATAGAGGATGCCATGGGAAATCCAAATGGAAGAGGAATTACTTATATGTGGTGAAATCCACCAAATACTTCTGCCTACAGGTAACATTGTTCCAATTGCATCAACCCACAGATGGCAGAGAAGGGATATCTGTCCAAGAAAGAAAGAGGGAAGGATACAAGATAGATAGCCCCAGTGTTGTGCTGATACCCTCAGATGGTTAAAAGACTTATAAGAAAGCCACCTGCCTGTTTTGGAGATTCTCTATGGAGGATTTTCAGGAGATCACAGACTCAGAGTTGGGAGAGCCTCTAAAAGTCTTCTAGTTTAACCCCCTCGTATTACAGATGAGGAAACTGAGGCCCAGAACAAGTAAGTGATTTGCCCAAGGTACACAGGTAGTAAGTGGTAGAGCCAGATTTCGAACCCAGTTCCTCCAATCCAGTGCACCAAATGGACAAGAATCATACAGGATAAGAAGGCATGGATAGGTTCCGATCTTCACAATTGAAGGGAGTATCCACACTGATGAGATCCTGGATCCTCTGAAGTTTCAAAGTAATGTGTGCAACACAGAAGTCTATGTCATTTGTTTATGGATATACCAATGCATCAGGGCCTAGGAGTGGAGACTTTATTGGACTAAGAATTTCGTTCTCTTTTTGGATGCATCACTGGCTTGCTTTATAACCTGAGCAAGACCATTTACATTAGTAGACTCAGAAGTCTCTTCTTTTAAAATGTTCTTGCTAGCTATATGTATCAAAATGTTGTAAAGGCAAATCACTCATTCAATTTGTTTGTTCAATGTTTATTGAGTGACTTCAGTGTAAATAACATGGAGGTCCTTGGAGATGGATGCTAGCAAGGTGGTGGTGTTATAAAAAGAGAATTGTCCTTCTCCCTCTAACTCTCATTCATATTGGAATGATATGTTTTATGCAGTTTTAGTTCTCCACTTGTTAGGATTACTCATATGAACAATGTATACAAAATTCAAAGAACATATTTTAATAATGTACCATTATTAACTTAACTTGGAATCTTAAAAAAGTATTGGAATCATATTGATGTTAATTTTGTATCTAGTTTTGTGATGGCCTGGTTTTCTTATACAAGTTCAAATAAAAGCATAGGAATACAGCTTAGGAATATGCAGAGTTTGTTAAAGGCCCACTAAGGCCTCAGATTTAACTAATTTAGTAATCTTTTGACTGATTGAAATTGATATGTAGACAACAAAAAAACTATTGTATAACAAAATTATTGTTTATGGATCATACTAACACATCAAGATGGATTGAATAGACCAGTCACTGATGATTTTGCCATCTTGCAATTTGTTTTTCAGGCCTTAGTACTGACATAGCCTAAATCTGATAATGTTTATGTTATTGGTATTTTTATGTGATTCCATCCATCCATCCACCCATCCATTCATCCATTTATTGCACATGACACTTATGGGCACTGGGGGAAACAAAGATGAACAAGACTCTGTTCCAACCCTCAAAGTGCTTATATATTTCAGTAAGGGGTCGAAGTCAAGCACATGAAAAAGCTATAATACCATGCAGAATGTGATAAATGCTATATAAGAAACACCAAGTGTTATGAGTTCTATGGAGGGAAAGATCATATCGGATTTGGGAGGATCACAGAAGGTTTTATGAATCCAGTGCAACAAACATTTGCCAAGCATCAGTTGTGTGCAAGGAGGTGACATCTGATCTAGGTCCTGATTTAAATAGATATTTGCTGATTTTCTAAAAGTCAATTTATCTATCGGGGACCTATAAGTGTTGGTTCTTTTGACCATGGAACTATCTTAATGAGTACCTGAAAAATCTCTTTTTGTATTACCTTCTTACATATCTGCACACACACACAGACTCAGAATAATTTCCTATATAATTCAAAAGACAACGATGTATGCTACAGTGTCACACATTAGAAAAGATGAAAGACTTGAACTTACTATGATTTTTCTTGGCATATGTAGTGCTACACTTAGGATGAGTTAAAAGTTGTCAGTGATTTTGTCTGCAAATTTAACAAAACAATGGAAGGAGAATTGAATTAAAAAGTTTTGTTTCACTCTGTGGATTTAGATTTGTAGTCCCATAAGCTTTTTTCTTTTGCATATCACTAATCAATATCTTTCTGGTTTTAAGCAGGGGTACGCCATGGATTTAGAACCAGAGGACTATGATAATCGAACTCTCACAAGTGAGAACGGCACTGAGATGGCCACGGCATCCTACGATCCTGATTGGGGTGGTGGTGGTAATAAGACCCGGATAGATGATGTACAGGTCTTTGTGATTGGGCTGTACTCGACCATAAGTCTGCTTGGTTTCATGGGGAACATGCTTATCCTTATGGCCCTCATGAAAAAATGTAAACAAAAGACGATTGTAAACTTCTTCATTGGAAATTTGGCCTTCTCTGATATCTTGGTCGTGCTATTTTGTTCACCCTTCACACTGTCTGCTCTCCTGCTGGACCAGTGGGTGCTTGGTGAGCTCATGTGCCGTCTTATGCCTTTTCTCCAATGTACATCGGTGCTGGTTTCAACTTTAATCTTAATCTCAATTGCTATTGTCAGGTACCAAAGGATAAAATATCCCCTTTCCAAAAGTTTGACCATCAGACAAGGCTGTTATTTGGTTGGCCTTTCTTGGGCTATTGGCTTTGTGATTTGTTCCCCTCTTCCCATCTTCTACAGGCTTGTAGAACCCAATGGGAATAATGGCACAAATACCACGGCCCCTAAGTATGTGTGTATTGAGGCCTGGCCGAAGGAGTCGTACAGAATTGCCTTTTCTCTGTGTTTGCTGGTGGTTCAGTACATACTGCCCTTGATTTGTCTGATTGTGAGTCATACCAGTGTTTGCCGGAGCATTACTTGCAAGATGTCTACTAGGGAGATGAAAAGGAGGCTTGAAGAGAAGGAGAAGAGGGAGAAGAAGGAGAAGAAGGAGAAGGAGAAGAAGGAGAAAAAGGAGAGGAAGGAGAGGGAGAAAAGAGAGAAGAAGGAGAGAAAGGGGAAGAAGGATATGGTCGAGACAATGGAGATGAAGGATATGAGAGAGACAAGAGAGATGATGGGCCCGAGTGACATGGAAGATGACTATGATGATTACCTGGATGACATAGAAGACTTAGAAGGCACAATGGACATGAAGGACATAATGGAATTGAGGGAGTTGAAGAGGGAACTGAGAGAGAGGAGAGAGAGGAGAGAGAGGATGGGTAGGAGAGGGCGGAGGAAAATGAGAGAAATGCTGGAAGTGAAAGAACTAGAAGACATGGAAGATGTTGAAGAAGTGATGGACCTTACTGAAATGATAGAAATGAAAGAAATTAATACCCCGAGGAATGTGAGGGATATGAGAGACATGAGGAATGTGGAGGAGATAGAAGGCATGATAGAAATGAGAGAGGTGAGGGATGTGAGGGACATGAGGAACGTGGAAGACATAGAGGACATGAATGACACAATGGAAATGAGAGACATGGGGCACATGAGAGGCATGAGAGACATGAGGGACCCGAGAGACATGAGGGACCCAAGAGAGATGAGAAACATGAGGGACATGCGGAGCATGAGAGATATGAGGGACCCGAGAGAGATGAGGGACCCGAGAGAGATGAGAGGCAGGAGGGGCATGAGACACCCAAGGGATGAAATGAGAGACACGAAGGAAAGGAGAGGGAGGAGTTGGAAAAGGGGAAGGAGGGGAAAGAAAGGAATGAGGGAAATGGAAATTGAAGAGATTGAGGAGATCGAGGAGTTGGGTTCAATGTATGGAATGTTTGAGATGGAGGAGATGGAGCAGATGAATGAGCTGAATGACCTGAGTGATCCTAATAATGGAGACGATGATTTGGATGACATGGAAGGTTATGCAGCCAAGAACAGTGGACACCATATTCAGCTCCCCAAGTTCCAAAGATGGAGCTACACATTAAGCCGAAAACACCGCAAGATGTACAACAAAAAGTCATGCGTCGTACCTGTTTTGCGCCATCCTCCTCCTCCTCCAGAGGTACCTCCCAAAGAGATCGAAGAAGAAGAAGAAGAAGCAGCAGAACCTGAGAGGTGCAAGCTGACCAATGCTAGTAAGATCATACCAGGGGTGCCCATCTGCTTCGTGATTAAACCTGAAGAAAAGCAGTTAGAAGAGCCGGAAATGCTGACCATATCCCGCTCCATCTCCAGGATCAGAAAGAGATCTCGCCGAGTCGTCTATCGTTTAACCATACTGATAATTGTGTTTGCTGTCAGTTGGATGCCTCTGCATCTTTTCCATGTTGTTACTGATTTTAATGCTGGCCTTCTGTCTAACAGGCATTTCCGATTGGTGTACTGTATTTGTCATTTGCTTGGTATGTTGTCTTGTTGCCTTAATCCCGTGCTGTATGGGTTCCTTAACAACGGTATAAAAGCAGATTTGATGGCTCTTTTGCGTTGCGTTTAGAATCTGCTGTGCTTAGAATCTGCCATTCTAAAGGTTGAAAAAGAAAGAACAAACGCTACGCTTCTCTAAAATATACATATATATATATATATTTATGGCTGCTTTAAACAAATATATTTTATTGCATGCAGATTTATTTATGCAGGAGAAAAAGACGCTCTGGATATGAATTCATTGGTGCCTAATGAGTAAAAGACCATTTCTTGACCCGCTATATAATATGACCATTTCATGTAGATATCGTGCTGAATCATGAATGTCAATCAAACTGCAACTTCATTGTCAAATGCTGTCCTATTGTGTATTACTTCATCTGCACCTTACAAGCAGCTGAATATAGTCATCATCCCACGACTTGGAGAAGAAAGAAAACCTGCAAAATATTTAATGGACAAAATGAATTTATTATTGTGATGTTTAAATAAGACTTCGTGTTTGTGCGTTTCTTGATGTAACAACTAAAGATTGTGTGTGTTTTTGTGTCTGCTCTGTGGAAATGCAGAAACTATTCAACTTTTGCTAGTTGAATCATAGCTAAATGAGAAGTCCATGCTTTAAGAGATGGTACGTTGTATTGCCTGTTAGGGGACATTGTGGAAACACCTAGAAAGAAGAATGTTTTCCCTCCTAGAGCTATGCTTTAAGAGATGGTACATTGTATTGATAGTCAGGGGGCACTGTGGAAACTCCTAAAAAGAAAAATGTTTTTCCCCTAGAGTTACGCTTTAAGCAATGGTACATTGTATTGACGAAGGGGGACACTGTGGAAACACCTAAATGGAGAAAAACAAATGTTTCCCCCCCTAGTGTTATGTTTGTGTCAGATGGTTAATTTGATCTTATGTTATAAAACAATGATGTTGTAATCTAAAGATGGACTAAAACTTTTGGCTAAACCTGTACAGAAATATTATATTAAATGTTACTGCAATGAAGGTCATGGCTTCATGTGTGCCTTTTATTCTCCAAAGTCTCAGGGCCTACTACAATTTCATACTGAGTCAAGTAGTTCAAAGCATTCAACAGTTGATATTCAAATATCAAAGGGATCTGGAATGTAAGTTAGATCAAACATTTTTCTTCCTAAGCCAAGACATATAGAGCCATTGGTACATTTCATACTATCTTTATGTTGTACATAGAAAAAGTAGATTTTCTTCCTGGGAACATGATATTTTTACTTTTTAAAGGCAAAAGGACTTCCTTTGGTCCATGTTATCCACTTCCCCAGCCAATTTCATTTCCATTTAAAAAGGAGATGACATTGGTCACTTTCAGAGATCCCCAAAGCAGGTAATTTCATGGAGAATGACAGATAAGTTCCACTAAACTGGTAAAATTCAATGGTCCAGAGCTTTTAAACTTTTTAATATCAGAACCTTATTTAACTTTCATAACCAGCAACACCAACAAGAATCTCCTCCCAACCCAGGTGATCCTTGTCAAAGCAAGTCCACTTACCTTTCGGCAAGTAAGGCAAAACATTCAGGAGCTTAATTATTCCTCCCAACTCCCCTCACAGGGAGAAATTATGTTCTCCACACTGGGGATTTCCTCATTTTGGCAAGATTTTCCAGTGAGTCAGTGTCCAGCCTGGGGCAGTGACTTGGAAATTTTCTCTTTTTATCTCTTCCTGTGTCTGTGTACCTCTCTTTTTTCTCTCTGTCTGTGTCTTTCTGTCTCTCTCTACTTCTGTCTTTTTGTCTTTTGCTCCGTGTCTCTCTCTGTACCTCTCTCAACAAGTAAGAGTGGACTGATGCTTCATGGGGAATTCATATCTATGTTCAAAGTCATAGCACTTTTCTCCTTGCATCTGCTTAGTTGTTTCTCTTTACCCTTCCACAACAGCCATTGTGATGAGAAGGGGATTTTTAGTTTAAATGTAGTAGATCTCTCAATTCCATCCAAAGTGGCCAAAAAGAGAAGAATGTTCAGGTACCTTTAGCCAGGTATCTGTTACCCTAATTTCAACACTCATATTCAGTTTAGTCTCTTTATAAAAATCACTCTCTCTACACCTCCACAGCACAGCAGTCTTCATCCTCTAGGGCAGGCCTACACAACCTACAGCCCATGGATAGTAAGTGGTTGTGGGCACGACAAAGGATTTCAGGCCAACCACAACAAATGCAGAGGATTTTTTCCTCTACATTTTTTGAGGGTGGACTGGTACTGTTTGGTTTGCCACAAGCAGTCCACCAGCCTGCTCTAGGGGGTTGGAAGCATAGCCACTTCCTCTTCTCACCACCAACTCCTGAGAAGATAACAACCTAAGTTAGGTCTTCTTAACCTTTTTATGTGTCTTGAACCCCTTGGTAATCTGGTGAAACCTATGGAGCCCTTCTCAGAAGAATGTTTTAAAATATTTTTTTTGAAAAAAAAATTATTGCAAAGGCAACAAAAAATTTTGTAGATTACGATTTTTTTAAATCATGGACTCCAGGTTAAGAACCTTCGGCATAAGGCAACTTTTCTGAAAATGAGAAGTTACTTATGTAACTGACATTTGCCACTGTCACTAGCTGTAGCAGATTTTAAACTTTCACATGAAAAGAATCAGAGAATTTCAGAATTTGAAGGAACCTTAGAGACTGGATCCAACTGATTTCATTTCTCAGATGAAGAAACTGAGGCCTAGATAAGTAAAGTGATTGGCTCATTATCAACCTATTAGTGGCCAGACTGAGATGCCTAATTATCATATCTTCTTGAAGCCAGTCCTATAGTCACATACAGTCCTATACACATACTACCCATTGAGCTGCTAAGAGACTAACACTAGCTATTCACCATGTGAGGATCCCCATGCCAAGACCACCCCTCTCCTTTTACTTCTCTCTTTTTACTCTTAGGACACATCCTGTTTTCCAGAGCTAAGGGCCAGCAAGTGAGCTATGCCCTGAGCTTGGCATAACAACAATCCTTTGTACACATTCTTTGGATGAGCTCAGCCACAGCAAAATCCCATAATTGTTCCACATCAGCACCAGGTGGTCTCTGAGATTGGACAATCATCCATGGTGCCCATATTATGGTTGTGAAGTCCTGCTATGAATCAAACTTGTTTCATTGTTGCTGTTACCCCTGATTATCAGGGCAACAGCTCACTGCATAGCCACTAGTATATGTATTGAGATTTGCCCACACTAAAGTGGGTCTCCTACTAGAGGGAGCCCCAGTACATGTGTCTAGTTTCCGTCCTCCAAAGGAATAAAGAAAGTTTTTTACTTACAATCACTGTTAGCTCTTTGGTTTTAGTTTGTTCTATTTTATTTTTAGAGTTAACTCTGGTTTTGATAACCTGTGTGAGCTCTCTGGCTTTTTTTTTAAGAGTTAACAGTGGTTACAAAAATCTCTGTGACTCTAGTCTTTTGTTCTCAGGGTCAACAACCATTAACTTTTTTTTTTTTAAGTTGTTATTTATGAGAGAGATTAACTTTGTTCAGCTTGGTCACAGAGGATAGAACTAGAACTAATGTATGAAAGTTGCAAAGAAGCCAATTTACACATAATTTTAGAGCTATCTAACAATGGAAGACATGGCATTGGGAGTTAGTGGTTTCCCTCTAACTGGTCATCTGCAAGCAAAGGCTAGATGAGTATTGTCAGATGTCATAGGAGGAATCCTAAATGGTGTTGGAATTCCCTTCCTGCTCCTGATCCCATCATTCATCGTATATATCTAAATGTTAATAAAATTTATACCTATTGAACCACCTGTGATTTGCAACAAAGATCTGAAATGTTCAAATCAAAAAGACTTTTTGCCTTTTCTTATGTAATGGTTCTTCTCTCCAGCCTTGGGATAAATGCTTTGAGAAGGGACCTAAGTCACTAAAGATTCTTTGAGGTGGATCTTTCCCCAACTCAGGAAAAGGAGAAGCAAAAGCTGATGAGGTCTTCCACAAGGCAGCTAATCCAAGTCTTAACAGAAACATCATTCCTTTTAAAAGAAACTCAATAGTTTGTTTCCTTAAATTTGATCATCCATAAATATGCAGAGTTGATCTCACTTATGTTTCTGTACCACTTGAAAAATAATTCATGTTTGGTGGAAAAAAGTCCACATCTCCAATAGCCTAGGAAATGTCAATGTATGTCTTTGTGAAAGAGATAGTGCAATGGTGTATATAAAAGACCAGCCTTGTGTAGTCAGGAAATCCTGTTAACCTCATGTGAGGTTAACATGGTACTCAGAAATATTGCTAGGTTTTGTTGGAATCCCAGCTCTCCTACTTATTTCTTAGTAAAATGGAGAGCAGGTAATTCAGAAGATTCATGACAGAGCTCAGAGGGATACTCTCAGTTATTGAGCATGACCTATACGAAGATCTAGCAAAGGAGACAGAGAAGAAATGAAGAGAGAGAGAGAGAGAGAGAGAGAGAGAGAGAGAGAGAGAGAGAGAGAGAGAAAATTATAGAGAAGAGGGTGATCAACAGTGTCAAAGGCTGCAGAGAGTTCAAGATGAAGATTGAGAAAAAGTTTTTAGATCTGGCAGTTAAGAGGTGGTTAGTAACGTTAGAGCACTCAGTTGGACGATGAGGTCAGAAGTCAGACTGCAGTTAAAAAGTTAGGAAGGAAGTGAGAGAAAAGGAAATAGAAGCACCTATTACAGACTGCTTTCTCATGGAGTTTGCAACCAAGGGAAAGAAAGATATGGGATGATAGCTAGAGGGGATGGATGGCTCAAGTGTGTGTGTATGTGTGTCTGTCTGTGTGTGTGTCTGTGTGTGTGTGTGTCTTGAAGATGAGGGTGATGTGGATGTGTCTGTTGGCAGTAGGAAAATAGACAGTAGACAGGGAGGTTGAAGATGTGAGAAAGTGGGGGTGATGGGGGGGTATGGAATCTGTTGTAGAAAACATGGAATGAAATTCCTCGTACATGAGTAATTTCTCCTTCGTCAAGGATGATGTGAGATGAGAAAGAGAGAAGAGGGAGACCTTCATGAATGGCCTAAATTTTTCAGTAAAATATGAGGTAAAGTTCTCAATTGAGAGGATGGGGGAACTCAACTCAGAGGGGGGAGCTTTGGGAGGTTTGAGGAAGGATGGAAATGTTTGGCAGAGCTGCTGTGGTACATAGGATAGTGAGTTAATTAGAGAGATAAAATATAAAAGGGTTACCTTGTAAGAGGGAGAACCCAGCTGAAGTTATTTAGCATAAATTAGTAGTGCACCCAGTCCCCATGGTATAATGATTTTCTCAGCTTTGCTTAGCAGTTGTGTGTAGGATTAAAGGTGGGGAGGCGGGGAATAAATAAGTAGGAAATGGTCTCAAGAGAAAAGGATAGAATAGAGTGCTGAACTGGTGCACCAAAAAGTCAAGATGGGGAAGGAAGAGAATATGGCCAGTGCCTGGTAGAGAAATGAGGGGTTGAGAGACTGGAAGTCATGGTTTCAAAGCAAAGACTGGAACCCACATCTTCCTGGCACTGAGGTCAATTCATTATCCATTACTTCACACTATCTTTCATACATTAAAAAATTAACACAAAAATCAAAGTTAACCAAGTATAAGATAAATATGAAATTTTAAAATAAATATATCTTATCTATTAATAGTATAAATCTTTTGCTCTTGCTAAAACATTGTTTATTATAATTATTAGTAAATGACACTTATTAACAATTATTAATATTTTGTGAAAACATTTTGATTCAACATGCTTTGTTATTTTGGGATAATCTTAACTTCACAGTTTGTGATACATCCTCTTGAAGAGCTATTCTAAATTCAGTTTATTCCAATACTTGATTTTAATGGCTCTCCTAGCTGAAGAAGATATCTCACAAAGATCCATACATTCAAATGGAATACATGTATCACTGAACACTTACTTTTCAATTCCATCCACCAAATATGGAAGATTTTTTTTATATATTTGGTGAGCAAACTGCCATCTTCTATGAAGTCAATCA